TTTTGCACTGGTCCAGCCGAAACCAGCCGAACTGAATCAGGACCCAAATTCACCCAAATTGACACCCCGTTTTCGAGGGTCTGAAATTCACCCTGTCATTCACGGTAAATTAGCAAGGCAAATCAGCTGGGCAAATCAGCCCACCCCAAATTCCCTGACGCCTAGTGCCACAACATTCGTTCGCACTCAGAAGTATCGCCCTGCTTGTTTTATTTCCCCACCCTCCTCTCCCTTTCTTTCTCGTTCCCGACTCAACATTTCCTCGCTGCTACCCCCCACAAGATTCCGAATCAACTGGGCCCGGAGGCCACCTGCATTCTGGTCACTGCGAGGAAGCCCTCCCTCCCTCGCAGCTCACCTCAATACACCATCATTACTGATTATACCTTTTCCATATTCGAACACGTCTAAGTGATCCTCAAAGACACATAGTAAGGAAAAGCCCGGGCAATTTCCATCGGTTGCTATCTTCCAAGATCCACCTTGGTCGTATCTGAGGGCCAGATAAACATGATTAGAACTATTAGTTCTGGGACGTTCCTCCGCTTGTGGTGACAATCTTAATGGCCGTGAGACCCGAATTGATGAGATTGATACGTAGACCAAGTTTGCTCGACTAGAAGATGATGATGGATGCGGAGATTGCCTAGGACTGGGGTGAGGGTCTTGAAAGAAGAGCACCGACTTTGCGGGACTGCAGCGTGTAGATGATAGATTAGTAGTAACTTGACTCTTGAGTTACAATTATATTTTTCACATATGCAGTTTGGGTATCGAATTTAGGCTAAGGCTTAGGCTGAGGATTAACAGGATTCATCTGTATCGGCTAATGCATGAGGCCTGAAAATCCACAGGAGAATAGAATTGTCTGTAAAACATTTGACCAAGTTTCCCGTTGTCTGTGTATAAAAGAGCCAAGTAATCACCGTTATTTCAATAACGAAGAACATCACCCAGCCCAGTCCTTCGAAGTACAACAATGAAGCTCACCTCACTCGCCATTATGATTATGTCTAGCCGCGAAGGCAACTCAAAAAAAGGCAGCCTATCCTTGGAAGATGTGACCTGGCACTGGCAACTTTACCATTACTGAGGTCGAAAAATCTACCTCTTGGCTCGCCATATACGTGACCCCGCCTCCCGCCGTGGTCGGGGTGCTGCGCACGCACGGCGAGAGGGACGAACTCGCGGGAACGATGCCGGATATGGGAGGAACGGATGAAAAAGCGAGCGAGTGCCAGCGGGAGGCAAGTCTGTGAACGAACGAAAGGCTTGAGCATTAGGGGCAGAAGGATGTACAGTATGGAGCAGTAACTAAGTAGGTACTAGTAGTGTGACGAGCTCAAAGTTGATATAGTTAGAATTGAACGGGACCTACGAGACTTGGCCTGAATTACGAGGGACAATGGCTTCGAATGTGGAGCCATCCGTCCTGCATGCTGAGCACAAAAGGGAGGGACTTCGAGGTGTTTGGTGTTGAAAAAAAAAAAAGAAGCGTCTAAAAATCGTCAGCGCAGGTCATGGCCAGTGGCAGCGTGCGAGAAGTATTACTCACTACTTTCGAGGGATGATATCCCCGCGCTCCTTCTTCGCGCGGTTGATTGCCCGAAGCAAAGCTGTGTGGCCCACAGTGGCCTCTGGATATGCAGCGAGGAATGCGGGCTCGTGTCCATCGAACCTATGTGTTGCATAGAATGATGATGGATGGGGATGAGAGCAGTTTCGTGTGCCCAAAAATTGCGAATCAACTCAGTGAACTCATGGATAAATTAGAAAGACATATATGGCAATATATAGTACATAATCACAAGCATAGCATAACTCTGCTACTATCACTGATTCGGAATGCACAATCGATGGATAATGCACAATGCACTCCAGAGCTCACCACTCTAAATATTTCATTCGGAACAGCTGGTGGACAATTATTAGCATACATTCATAATACTACCAATTCAAAATTTTAAAATCGGTGCTGTGAAGCCTTCCCGAGATGAACATTGTGCGAGTGTGCCCAAATGAGTGATTTTGGACACTAAATCCAAGATCCACCCAGATCCCATTAACCTATCAACACAGAAAGTTCAAAATATGTGAAATGCACCATCCTGAATCTACTCCAGGTGTTTCTATGTCAATAGGACACCACCACAGCATGCTATTCGCGATTCATGAGCAAAGCGTGACGGTCAGGCTAGATTGGGAAATCACACTCTCGGCTTGGTTGAGTCTCCGCTTTCTTTGCATTCGGCAGAATCGGCACATACCAGCATCTGTTCCTTTGAAGACACCAGAGGACATTGTTACATTACAAGGACAGTCGACCATGTCAAGGACAGCTCGAGTTTTTCGCAACCGCCCTTCACCACATTCACAACCTCCTCTCACACGCGAGGATCGTGAAAAACGTATCAAGGATGCAATCGATACATGGCGTGGGGTGAAACTAAAAGCCTCCTACAAGCAGCCAAGCATGGTGTCGAGCACATATATTCCACAGTGCGTAGGAGATGTGAAGGGTTGACTCTGGCCACGAGACGAGGCGCATGCAAAACAACGCCAAGTCAAAATCAGAACTGGAGGATATTGCTACTGCTCTTTCGCTGTCAACCGAGGGCACGAAGTCTGAAATTTTAGAACGCATCAAAGGACACTTGGAGAATACTCCCGACCTACGCCAGGACCACCGCTTTTCTGGTCTTTACCATCTCGTGGAAATCGGGCACCCCATGAGTCAAACGGTCATGCTGGATCTTCAAGAATTGACCATACTGCTCCCATTCAAGCTACACACACCATCTCATCAGCTCGTTCCAAGCATCAGTCATGGTTGTATTTCACTTACTTCTTCATGTTTATTTTGTTGCTGATAATGTCTGAATAGCTATGCATAGTAACGGCGCTCCCTTCTCTCGAGTCAAGCGGCAACAGCAAATGACGGTCCTTTACCCTTCCCTCCCCTCATTTAATAATCCACCACCTGCATACCCCATCCCACATCCGATTCTCGGTCGCGAGACACGATTCATGCAGCCAGTGCCAGCCCCAGAAGGGCTCGTCCTCTTCGAACTTCACAAGACCTCCCACACGCTACATGCTGGGCCGTCCACTGGCAGATCATGCCTTACCCCCTGCATGGCCTTCCTGCACCATTAAATAGAGTTCAGCAAATAATGATCACTCAGCACATCCTAGTGTTTATTATTACTAGATATTATTCCCTCAATGAAATTTGATTTGGAGCTCGTTATTGAAGCTTGAAGTTATGAACGGTGCGGAACACTGGACTTTCATTCGCTTTGCACGCTGTCGGACTGTGAATATCATTGTGTATTGGCCGAGGTGCCGCGCGTGACATAGTGTGACGAAATTGTGCATTTCTATTGTGTTTTCGACACCTCAACTTCCAGTGCTGCCGCTGCAACAAGCTCGCAACAAAATTAAAAAATTCTTGTTGGGCCTAATGCACAGAGACCTAAAGTATACACTACAGTAGATCCGATACGAATATGTGTTGTTGTTGTGTTGCTATTCAGCAATAAGTGTAAATTGTGCATTTCCCGTCGAATGATAGTATTGATCGTTACATTTTAATATTTGACCTTATCGTAACGGCGCCTACGCGCCGAGTCCCTGACTCCGTTTCGCACACCTCCATGCACCTGAAATTCTAGTAGTTTACCCCAGCCGACGTTCGGTTTGCCTGCCTTCACACTGCCTGTCTTGAATGGGCTTCATCCAGAGTACACACATGTATAAGACAGACTACACACAAATATTCAACGAAACCACCAGTACTTCTAGCAAACCAGAAACCTCCCAGACAGTTGAATGCCTGAATGATGCGGCCTCTTTAAACATGCCTACATCTGACCTCATCCAATGATACCAGAATCTCCAACTATGTGGACAACATGCCTGTCTTAGCTGCCTTCCTTGTTGGACTTCCTTGAGCAGGAGGACCATCAGCCTTGCATTTTGGTGAATTGTACATCAGGACTGGGCAGACAAACTTACTAAAAATGATGGCTCCTTCACCGTCATATAACTCGATTAGGTCTAGCACTGCAGATGACATGATGGCGAAGGAAGAAAAGCAGGGACCCCACTGTGTCAGGAAAAAAAGCAATGATCGAGTACAAAGCCCAGTGAATGTCCTATTCTGTGCAGTTCATGTTCAGAGCACATCGACATCATCCAAGTCCAAGTACGACATCAAGAGTCTTTTGAGCATTTCAATGGCCCGTATCTATTCATAGGACTCTCACCAAAAGCACGTGCTCATCGTGCAGTTGATGGGCAAAGTACATGGACATCATCAAAGTAAGACATCATACAAGAACATGTTGTGCAGGAGGGTTTGATGCCAGTCAACCCAAGCAAATTGGGTAGAGTTGGCAGAGGATTTAAGAGATGGGAAAATGTTTGAGTTCGACAAGACCCTCCTCCACTAACGTGGGAGTCGGGGATACAGGAAACAACAGTTCCTGATGTTCATATCCCAGTGCGCGGTCTATATAAATGCTCAAACTCATACTTGAAGGGAAGGTGGAACCATTTGGCACCTGCCCCAATATCTCTCTTGTCAGGCAACAGTGCAATTGTAAGGCTTTGTACCAAATCTCCATCACGTCAGTGACAATTTTTTATGTGAGCATAAATGCCAGTATCTTGCAGGGAACGATGATGAATTCACCTGAGCACCTGAGCAGAAAATCACCTTGTGTGTTGACTTCGGAGGTCATCTTTTTGATATATCTAATAGTTGTCAACTATATATCAGTTGCAGACAACGTCAGTGTATTCACTCGAGCGTGCGGCCAGAAAATTGTTTTGTGCTTCAACTTGAAAGGCCATCTTTTGCATATTTTTACAAGAACATCTAGACGCTTGGGTCCCTACCATTTTTCTCCTAATCCTCCTCGTATCAGCCCTCGTGTCATACCCTTACCCCGACCTTACCCTCGTCATCCTTGTCATCCTCGCCTTCCCTTTTGCTCTCTACCTGTTGCTGCAGCAAAGCCAGTACATTTGGCCGGATCCTTTCGCTGACGAAGCATACCCATGCTCCGTTCCACCACCTGACTGATCCAGTGGATAGTCACCTTTATCCTTACCGTCCGGACGGTAACCTATGATACGATGCACGACGCATCCCCTTTGCCCTGTTCCCTTTCTTGATCTCTGACTCAGTGCGCAGTCGCACATGCGACTTATACTTAGATCCGCAGCTGCACGATCGTGCCCCTGCGCGTTTCACTTCTTATTTCGATCTTTGACTCACTTTCTTATCTAGCACGTTCTACCTCGACCGAACGTGCCTTCCTGTTATGGTTTTACCCTTTACCGATTGCCTCTCCCAGTAGTATGAGTTATCACCCACTAATACGTCTCCTGTCCTCTATATAAACTCGCTACCATGTACCATATTCCCTAACTTGAATCTACTTGGTTCTTGACCTCCTACTCTTAACTGAGTGATCCTTTCTGCCTTGCCAGCAGTCTATATTCTATCTTCTTATCTGCTCATCGCGGATAAGCCTATAGTCTCGACCTTTGCTCATCGACTTCGTCGACCAGCAAAGCCCCTGTTAACTAGTCGGACTTCTGTCCTTCTAATTAACGACGATCCTTACGATTAACCTTCGGGTGTCGTAAGCCTAGGCCGATATAGCTTATCGTCTCGCACCCGCGTGACATAAGCTACCCGATTTGGACATAGGCGTTAAATCATACTTGCCGAAGACCCGCCAAGTACGACCCCTAACCTTGGGCTAGCCCAAGGACGTCCTCGACCGTTGACGACACAAGCTCTGTTTGAGCGTCGCCAACAGATACCATCCAAGTCGTAACACATATATACAACAGTTTGTCAGATATATATCAATTGGGATTTCGTGCGAAAAAGCTTTACCTTGGCAGCAGTCGACAGTTATGCATTCATTCTGATCTCAGTGGTATCTATTCCAGACATCAATTGACCATTCATCGTTCTTCACTCACCATCCAACAGATGTAAGGTGTATTGCACCATCTATCGACGAAATCACATAACATCGTACATGACCAGAAGAGTCCTTAACGAGGACATCTTGAGGTTGTTTTGTTCTGATGTCCGATGACCATCCATCGTTCTTCACTTACCATCCGACAGATGTAAGGTGTATTGCACCATCTATTGATGAAATCGCATAACATTGTACACTACCAGAAGAGTCCTTAACGAGGACATTTTGAGGTTGTTTCTTTCGGATGTCCGATGAAGATGAGGAATCTAAACTGTGGGGAAAGTTGGTGCTAAGCTAAGCAAACACAGATAGACCCGTGTGCGAGTGAAATCGTCATCCCAAGGGCAGCTAACTGAGTAAAGGAAACCTCTCTTTGTAAAAAAAAAGAGGGACACCAAACAACTAATGAAGTACTAGGGCTAAGTAATGCGCGAAGCGGAAACAATGCAATGTACAGAAGGTGAATGCGCGCGAGTGCAAAAGGCGAAGGTCGAGGTGCACGACACGAAGGTAGTGCGCGCGAGCAAAGGTGAGAGACAAGCGAGCAAGAGAAGCAAGAGAAAGACGAGACAAGACAAGTGTTAACACCCCAACTAAGGTTGGCTGATGCTAAGACAAAGACTGAGAACCGAAGTGCGCGACTTTAAATAGTCACTTGCAAACAACAAGTAAAATTCTTAGTATCTAGAGACACACAGAAAGTGGGCGGAAAATCGACCTCAAAAATAGAGTAAAGAGATAGTATATGTAAAGATGGCTAAGCGCCGCTAGGCGTGCAGGTCCGATGTAGCGAGCCAAGTATGCTAAATATAGTATGCGAGATAGGTAATAGGGTCTTGGCTGCATGTGGAATCTGCAAAGTAAAATATATGAAGCACTACTGCGCAAGACGTATCCTTGGGATTAGAGCTGGAGTGTGTAGGGAATGTGGGAGAATTCGAGGGAAGTGCCTGTGGAGGCACGAGGCTCTACAACAGTGGGAGACTTTAAAATCTGACTGTCCCCAGTCAGCGCGCGCGCGTTCATGCAAATGGACTTAGGGAAATTTTGACGAGAGGTGTCATGTGATTGTGGTCCATATTTTGAAAATGAAGCGCTGGCGATCAGCCTCATGACCTCAGGAATTAGCGCAGATGCTGACATAATTGTGGTTAGCGCGTTTAAAAGAGCGCTACATGGCAACGTGTTGTTCTCCTCATCTTTCGCCTTAATCGCGATATTCTAACCTTCTTTTCATCATGTTGACTTTTGATTTAACTTTACTTGACCCTCCTTGCTTGCCTTCACCTGAGGCTCAGGCGCCTGTCGAGGCTGCGCCAATGCTCGAGGAGCCAGCTCAGAAAATTCCTGAGCCTGCACCTGTCGTCGAATCTGAGGGTGACCGCGTGCTCCGCATCTGGAATGCGCTGTTGCCGTCGGTTGGCATACTTTCAGGCTTGCGTCCAGAGCTCCTCCAAGAATGTCTGGAGGACATCGAATTGTGGCTCCACAAATGGGCACATTTTGAGGTGAGTGGCACGTGTCTTTGCATGTTTTTATTGATTGATGGGACTTATCTTCAGGCTAATGCGCGCATCTGCATGCGCGACATGCTGAAGGCCGAGACATTGCTCCCAATTGGAGACAAGGAGAAGGAGGACCTCTGGGATCTGAACAAGTGGGTGGCGGTGGCACGGAAAATGGTGAGCGGGTGGAAGAAAGCAGCAGAGGCGATCATGGTGGAGGTGTGCGTGGCTTGTGTAGATAAGGAGAAGGGAAAGGGAAAGGAGAGGGAGGAGAACCCAGACATGGGTAAGCCTGTGAGTATATTTCTACCTTTTCTGTCATGTCTGGCTGACTCTTTATTTGTGTTGACAGAAGGCGGGGGGGTGTATGTTGACCAGCCCCAAGACGCTTGACCCTCCTTGCGAGAACTGTGTCCAGCGTGGCATAAAATGCTTGCAGGGCAAGAACGCACACTGTGGACCTTGTGAGTGCTTGCACAGGGCATGCAACTTTGGTAAGTCATCTTTCTGTTTTAGTTCTTTTGTTCTGATAATCGCTTATAGCTACCAAACGCAAGGCACCTGAGGCTGCCAGGCCTGCTCGCAAAATGCCTCATGTGGCTGAAGAATGTGCGCCAATGGTAGAGCCAACCACAGCTGATGA